GGCGCTGGCGGAAAAAGGCTATAGAGAAAAAATCGAACCACGGATCTGTAAAAGTGAAGGACCATTCTCGTCAGGTCAGGTTCTGAAGCGCGGGTAGCACAATGGAGGCCTGCGCAAAGCGTGGGGGCATCATCGCTGTCGATCACCTCAGTTGCCACTTGGAGGGTCGGGGGACTTAGTAAGTAGTTATTTTATAGAGTAATAAATATCACAACACCAATTAGGGTCCCTATTAGGGTACTTATAAGTCTACTTTTTGCCCACATACTAGATGCCCGACCCTCCAAGCAGCATGATTTTGGCAAGGGGTTCAGGCTTCAACGGCTTCCATAAATGGGTCGTCCTCTAAGTTAGGTTCCCATTTTAGCAACCAGAAAGCAGACGGCATACTCATCAAAAGGACACTAATTTTGAGAGCTACTCAAAGCGTTGCAAGGGGCTCGGGCTAGTGGTTGGGTATACTATGTACTCTATGCTTACAACAACGTCATGGCTGACGATTCAACTCATCTTGATATGCTGGTGATCGTAATGCACGACTGAAGCAGCGTGTGTGTGTGTGTGTGCTGTAAAACGGGATTGAACAACCCCCCTATGTCGAGAGCACAATAGGGTTTTCGCACGGCGCGCGAAACGATCAAGTCCGTGGCAACAGGTCCGCTGCCAACTGACGGATCATATACCAAGCCTTAACCCTGGACCCACCCTAAACCCTAAACCCTAAACCCTAAACCCTATAAACCCTAAACCCTGAACTCGAAATTCTAAGCTTCAAGCCCGCACCACCCAAAACTAAACCCTGAATCGCCAACAAAAATCCGGAACACCTAAACTCTGAGCCCTTGAGCACTCCGAAACGGTGCAGGCCTTAAAGGTTCTATACCGTAAACTACCCTAAACCCTAAATCCCTAAACCCTAAACCACCTACTGTTTTGCAAGTTCTTATCATGAATCCTAATGAGGCATTTGTTTCTAGGGACTCTACAAAAAATACAGGTTGTGGTGAGCCAATGGCAGCTCATGCAGGATTCTTAAGGGTACACTGAAGAATAAACGTCAGTGGGCCGTATTTGCCGATAGAACCCTAAACCCTAAACCCGAAAACCCATAGAATCTTGCCAAACCCCAGGTTGGCGCAATGACGACGTTAAACCGCGGCCGGTTACCCGGTGTCACCTCTTGTGATGAGTGTTGTGCTTGGGGTTTTTTTGACACTCACACTCGGACAAGCCTGGCAAGGTCCACGACGATACCGTCTTCAAGAAACGTTATTTGTGCTTGGGGTTTAGGGTTTAAGGGTTTGGGATTTAGGGTTTAGAGTTCTGTGCCTCGGGTCGCCGCGGCCGTGTGAAGTGATCAAACTGCTTCCGTAACCCGTAATCTGCGATTGGCAATGCACAACCCTCAACTATAACTATAGTTTCCTATGGATACCTTCCAAGGATCCATCAACCTAAACCCTAAACCCTAAACAATCCTAAACCCGTTTACCACTAGCCGGTGCAGTGCATGCCATTCACGAATTGGTTCGGTGGACCTGTGCGGAGCGTTTTCTTCCGCCCCTAAACCCAACTCTAAAGACCCCACCAAACCCCCCAAATCGCCCCTAAACCCTAAACCCTGAACCCTAAACCCTAAACCATCAACCCTCAACCCCCCCCAAAAATCCTAGTCCTAAGCCAAAAGCCACGGCACAGAGACGAAAGCCGCCGAGACGAGTTTCAGGACCACCTCGAACCAAACGAGCTCGAAGAGCACCTGTCAGGGTTTTATGATGGGGTTGAGGGTTTAGGGTTGAGGGTTACCTATATTTCGATTGTAGTTCCTTTTTTGGTTTAACCAACTATATATTAAGGATTTTATAAGGTATCCCCCAAAAGGAGCTACAATGGAGACTATAGGTAGGGCTTAGCGTTGAGGGTTTAGGTTGATGGATCCTTGGAAGGTATCCATAGGAAACTATAGTTGAGGGTTTCGATTTTAGTGTAGGATTTGGACTTTAGGGATTAGGGTTTAGGGTTTATAGGGTTGAAGAGCGCCTAAGGCTGGGAACACTTGTTGGTGCTTCTGGGGGCTGTTAGGGTTTAGGGTGAGTGAGGATTTAGGGACATGAGAAGCACCTGTACTTCAGTTCAAAGGGTCCACTACCGGTTTAAGAATCCCTTATGGGTACGTTAGGTCCAAGTAGATGCTTGATCCAAGAGCCGTCGGGGTAACTGATAAGCACTCCAATAAGCAACGAATCCCGAGTCTTACGCTTTGCTACCTCTGAGCTTCTTCTCACCTAAAATCACCGTGTACTGGACAAGTAAAACATGCTCTGCAAGCTCTTACAACATCTATACCTGAACCCTAAACCTTATAAATCCTAAACTCCTAAACCCTAAACCCCAAACCCCATCCCTCAAACAATAGAAGAAACCCCAAACCATTCTGTTGAACCCCAACAGCCCTGAAGAACACTAACAGGGCTCCATTACTCAAGCCCTAAACCCTTAGAGTTACCCTTTAAGGATCCCTCAAAGGCTCTACATGGGGCTGCAAGGGGTCAGGGCGGTTTAGGGTTTAGGGGTTTGGGGTTTAGGGCTTTGGAGTTTGGGAGGTTAGCCTTTGAAATTCCACAGGTGTTGCAATACACCTAAACATCCCGAATGAGGTCAGCACAACCCCAAAGCCCTCTGCAACTGGCTTGCAACGTCACGCCAGGACGCCCTAAGCCCCAACATCCAAACCCTAAGCCAAACCCAAAACCCTAAACCCTTTTTTGAACCCAGACTCTGCCAATCAGCTGGGAATCAGCACTGCCAGATTATTGCATCTGGGAAGTAGCGCCGCCAAACTCAAACCTGAATCCCTGAATACCCTAAACCCTAAACGCCAAACCCTCAAACCAAGACCCCTGTAGGCCAAGTGGCATACTTGCAGAATAGGCGGTCGGCTCCTGCCAGAATTCCTCGGACCGTTGAACCCAAAGGCCCTTACGGGTTGTGGGATTACACCCTTTAACAGGGTTTAGGGTTTAGGGTTTAGGGTTTAGGGTTTTGGGTTTAGGGTTTACGGTCTACTTGGAACAGAGTCGGTTATAAGTAGGGTTATAATTGGGGTAACTCCAGTTAGGGTACTTATAACTCTACTTATAACCTACTTACTAAGTCCCCCGAGCCTCCAAGTAGGCCCCTCAACAGGGCTGAACTTTGGGCTTTGGGCTTTAGGACTTCGGGTTGCTTTGAGGGTTTCTTTACTATAAGGGGCTTGTTCGGGTTTAGGATTTAGGATTTAGAGTTCTTTTTTAGGGTTTGTTTATTTTTGTTAAGGCCTCCCCAGGCTTCCTATGTAGGGTTTCGGCGCTCACACTCGGACAACCCAGGCGGATCTTGAAAACGGCGACCTCATACATTTGCAAGCCCTTCTAAAGAGGCCATTCCATCCTCTCTCATCCAGAGTTCTTTGCATTCCGGGTAGCTAGATTGAGGACACTATACTACAGTCACTTCATCCAAGGGGAAGGGTTATAGACAAGCAGAGCCCCTTTTATTTAGGCTTTGTTTAGGTCGGGTTTAGGGGTTTTTGGTTTAGGGTTTTAGGTGCGCAGGGTCCCTCTGTAGGGTTACACGCTCGCAACTCGGACATATGGTCGCGGTGACAGAAGAAGCTGCAGAGCACTGTCTCCTGTGCACACTCATGGGTCTCCGACGAGAATTACAGCAACACATGATAACCCAAGGCGTAGGAAAGCACTGCACTGGGTAACTACATGCGTTCGGTACGAGGCAAAACTGTAGCCGAAGCATCATCATCGCATAAAAACACAAGCAACGAAACATGCCGGACCGAAAGTAATCGATAATCATTGCTGAAGACTGCCTTCTGAGCTCCGGCAGTTTTCGGGGTTTGGGGTTTAGGTACTGGAAGTGTTTGTTTTTCATGAGTCGGAAGTCTGACGAGCTGTATGGGATACAGCGCGCATGTCACAGAATCTCCACGGTGTAGGGTTTCGAGTTTATTCGAGTTCAGAGTGGAGGGATGCTTAAGCCCCCAAGATCTGTCCATATGAGCCGCAAATCTTTTCCAAACCAGCAAAGATCCCTGAAGAGCCCCAAATCATGCCTGTTCAAACCCATGAGTACCCCTGTCATTTGTCCCAAAAGCAAGCCAAAGCCGCAGTCCGGATGATAAAGAGTAAAGGAAACTTCGC